CCTCTATTTTTAATAAGAGCTACTCAAGTGTGAGTAACTCTTCAAAATAACCGAACTAAAACAAAAAGCTTTTGTGAAAACAACTAACTAAAATCATAATTAAAAAATATTAAACTAATAAATGTTTTATAAAATGTAAATTACATTATGCAATACATAGATCAGAATACAACACCAAGGACGAACATCTAAAGATCCCACTACACTCGAGAGAGAATGACCAACCACAATCGATATGCCACTCACAATCACAACTCAAAGGATTTAGAGTACGACTTGACTTCGCAGAAAAGGACTTCATTGAACTAGACCAATGACCACCTCGATGTTCAAGTATACGTACAGATCCGAGTAACCAGGCATCCCCTCCACGCACAATCTCCACGCCATTCCCAAACTAGATCAGACACAAAAGAAGTTCTCCACGCAGAACAGAAAAACCTGACATAGCAAACCATTCTGAAATCAGATTTGAGTTTGTTGCAAAGACTTAGTCGTTGTCACTAGAAGACACAACGTCTTATGTCTCTAACTCCAGCTTCCTGGAACTTCTTTAACAAAAAAGGAAACAGAAGAAATATGATGTTCGCCAAACACCAACGTCCATCATCCATCCTTCGAATTGCAGAAGAACTATTCTAAAAAACTCTGTAAAACCCGGATGGGTGGAACCTGATCTAGACTACATTTTATGATTGGATAATTTAGATATTTTACCAATGTAAAGTATTTAATATTAACCAATCATGATCCATCTAACTAACAACCCACTTATTTGTAAGTGCTGAAGTTACTTGTAATTTCAGCACCAGAGAGATTTGAATTTAACTTAGAAATTAGTTGGACTCTCCCGAGCACTTCAGCAGCCGCAATAAACCAGTATACCCTAGATCTATTGAGCCTAGCAGAGACTAGTTAAACAACCTGAGACTAGATAGTATAAGAGTAAGATTAGGATCGGTATTAGACTAAGAAGTTGCACGAATCTATCCGGCCGAAAATAAGATAGCGTGACGAGCAGACGGTGTACCCTATCCGAAATTACTCTATGAGTTAACCAACTCGGTCCTAACTCAATTAGGATTGCAAATGCGTAATAATACGCAGAAAAAGGGCTAAACAAAAATTATGGACTATCTTATTGAATTCATAAAAATTAGTTGGCGTTATTATTTATAAATCAGAGCCACTAATCACATGCATGTCATTGAGGTTTTTCACTGATAACTTTGCGTACAACCCGTCTTTTTCTTGGTTCTGTTTATTTTAACAACGGAAATTGGTTGTTGACTGTAACAGCAGAGGCGTTCATGTCGCACGAAAATTTCGTTTATGCCTGGCAACAGTCGTTTTAGCAATTACACTACCACACTTTTGGCAAAAGTGGTATTTGCTTGTAGTTCTTTCTTTGTCGTTACCAGCTTTCGCCAAGTAGTCCATGCTAGTTGTCACCACCCATTTAAAGGGTGACTTCTTCCGTTTCCTAAGTGGAAGTATCACGTTGACTGGTATTTTTGAGGGTTTCAGTGAAAATAACCGAATCATGGCCCAGGCATCTTCAAGAGAGCTATGTGCACCTGTTTGAATGTCTTCGCAGAGCAGGGCCTTCGTCATTCTTTGAAGACTGACACTAAAACTGCAGCCTGCTCCCAAACCCAGTGCTTCTCTCAGAGCAGCCAGTCGAAAAAAACCACGAATTACATCAGTTGCAGTAGAAAATAAAATGAGACTTCAGACATTTCAGAGTGCTGAAAACAATAAAAGTCTTTTAGATTGTAGGAAATGGAAAATTTAAGGGGAAAACTTAGCTGTATCTAGTTTTTAATAATATTACTCACTTGATGATATCGATTATCTTGTCTTTTGCGTGCACGAAGCTAATAGAGTTGAAGTCCATGTGCACTGTGTGCCCAACTATATACTTGTCAAGAATCACTTCTTTGATCTATCTAAAATAAAAAATAACTTCGCAAACAATTCCTGCAAATTGTGGTAATTTTTTCAATACGCACTCAATATCCATCAAAATTTTCTCGCTAGGCCAGATGGACGTGGTTTATTAGACGAGAATTTAAATACCTGCCTTAAAAAACGAGATGCCGAAACACAGTTAAATCTTTTTAAATGCAGTGATTTATGTACTTTCTTTGTAATTTATTATTCTTTTTTGATTTGATCTTGATTTGAAAACTTGATTTAAAAACTTAATTTTTTGTTCGAAATTTTAGTGGGTTTCAGCAAAATCGAACATAAGTAGTTATAACACCAAAAAAAAACAAGTCATAGCTCAAATTAGATCAAATCTTTTCGAACTTGAAGTTTTTAGAGAAAAATCACAATTTTTCTAGATAAAAAACGAAGTCTCAATTTTTGCGCAAAAATTCCCTTAACATTGACTTAACATAAAACCAAAAAACATACTGTAAAGCCTTCATTCTACAGTCCACACCTAATACACCAATGATGTTTATAAATGGGATAACGCGCGCCAAACATTTTTTAACCCAAAAACCACAAAAATACCATTTTCTTACCATCCACTTATCATTTCCCAAACGCTGAAACTTTATCAATTCTATTTCCTATCTTAACACATTCGAAAACCTATTTACTATTTTAATACTTATCCTGCGCACTGGATGTTCTATTCCCGTAACTTGAAACATGGGTGTCCGCAGGCACCAACTAATTGCTCTGGAAACCAATGTAGGTTGCTTTGCCTGCGTGCACACCAACACAAACGGTATTCGCAGGCACCAACCACTCTCGCCCAAACAATTGCTCTGAATTCTATATTGTCGATCAAAACAAGTTTAAGCGTTATTCTATAACTTTATTCAGTTCGTATTCTGATCAATTAGTATTTAGCTTTTTAATATTCCAATGATTGGTAAAATTATCCATCAAAATTTACATAATTAAGCAAGGATATTCGGATGCTGTACATTTACTAGAGAATGTTCCGACCACACTGATTCAAGAAATAACATTTAATATTGCAAGAATAATTTAAAAAACTATAAAAAAAACATTCTTTAAATTGTTTTTCTGAACTCCGATTGATTTGTTTGAAGCAAAGGGCTACTGAATCTGATTGAAATCTGTAAGGATGAGAATCATATAACGGCTAAAAAATTTATAATGTTAGTGCTGAAACATAGCTAATTTTCAGGGGATGTCAGCCTCCATTCAATTTTCGTTTAACTAAGTCTGTGAACGAAAAATTTTCAGAGCAGTTATTTTCGACACTGCGAAACTTTTTAAATTTCTCAAGAATTCTAATCACAACCAAAAAGGCTCTAATATGATGCCACACTTGACTCCTCTCGAGCTTTAACTACGCTTGCGATTAGCAAGCGTTATCAAACCGGAATGCAGACTTCTTCGGGTTAACATCTAGTTTAGCATAATCAGTTGAATCAATATGCAGCGGACATGCTCAATTCCATGCAAGTTCAAATTTAACCACAGTGTGGGTACTAATTACTACAGGTTAGTTTTAAATGAGAATTGAATTTTTTTTTACAAAATCAGCTTTTTTGCGGCTCAACTGGTGTCTGCTCTAAGATTGTCGGCCTTGTTTCCTCGTCGTAATTTTTGTCCAGTTGGTAATTTGAATTTCAAATGTGTTGCTTGGCATATCACTCCAGAATTCCTGCTTGATAAAAACAGCTATAATAAAAGTGCATTTTTTGAATTGAGTTTTTGTAATTTTAATTTTTTGGCCCTCAGACTTATAGCCTTCAGAGAAGTCAATTTTTTCAAATTTTTTTGAATCTTTTTGAACTTTTCTCAAAAACTAACATCCCAAACCTGAGGCTCTGGCTTCAGTTTAGATAACGGGTCGCGAGAAGCTCCCCTGCATTAGCGTCCACTCATATTTTTTAGACAAAAAGCTATCGTACTCGGAAAATCTAATTGTTCATTTTGTGGGCGTTTTTCTTTAATTGTGAATTTTATTGCGAATAACCTCCAAATAGCCTCCCATATCTGCGTATTTGAGTTAAACCCAATAAACGGGTTGTAAGAAAATACTTTGCGTACGCCACTACACCAAAACTTTTGCCACAAAAAATTATGTTCCTCGGAAAAGTCAAACCTTTGATTTTTTGAAACTTTTTGACTTTTCTGCCCTGGGTTTTTGGGTTCAATCAAAACTTCAGATCAGACGAATCGCTTCTGCACAAGCGGCTACGCCCAACTTTGTTTAAAAAAGCTATGATTCTCGGAAATATTAACTTACTGATTTGTTGACCGTTTTTTGGTTTTTCTCGATAACTATCCTGCCATATCTGATATCATATGTTTACGCAACACAATATGTTGCAGGAAGCTTACCTATGAAATTTGCTACGCCAAGTTTCTTCGAGAAAAAAAATATGGTATTCGAACAAGTGAAATGTGGAAATTTTGACAAAAGCCCGATTTTGGGAATCTTCTCTACTTAATCGGCCACGACCTGCTTTTAGAGGAAAAAATTTACGGATTTCAGAAAGTCAACTTTATGAACTTTGACCGTTTTTCAGAAAGTTTTTGAATTTTCCTAAAAACTACCAATCAAATCTGAGATGAAAATTTCAATCGAAAGAAGCGGTTGCGCGAACTTTTCCTGCAGAAGCGGTTACTCCCCAACTTTTTGCAAGAGAAAGGTTATGTCTTCGGGAAAATTCCAAAATCCCAAAAAGGAATTTCGTCCCGCATCACTATAACAAATTCAGAAAATATCAAACACGTGCGTCCAGCTTGAGCTGGGCACTAGGTGCCTTTCATCGAGACATACAAAAATTTGGTTCACCTATTTTTTTAAAACACTTTTATTTTTTTTTCGACTTCAGCTTTTTTTAATGATTTTGTTGTATCGCAACTGGTGCGACGCCCCTGAGTTAAAAATTGGCTAGAAAAAAAACCGAATCCAAAGTTCCTTTTATTTGAGAGACGGAACATTAAAGGGATTGTTGTGCACCAACTTAAAATCAAGACTAACTACTATTAATCATTTATATTATATACAAACTCTCACAAACTCTCACCAAGAAACCTTCCAGGGTTGGATAAAAAATAGGGTACATTTACAACAATTCAGGTAAAAACACTAAATACACTTAATTTTGACAATATAAACACTGCTTTTTTATGCTTAATATCTACATAACTCAAGGGTCCAATAAAAGCTGATAAATTTACAGCTAGAAGACAGAGCTTCAGATTTCATCAAGAAAGAGTAGTATAAAATTTATCGGAGAAATACATGAAAAGAAATGCATATTATGTAATGGATGGCGTCACAATGATTATGTTAATTTTAACGCAGAAGTTATCAAGTCTTGCCTTAATTCTGTTCATTGTACTTGCAGAGTCGGTTAAAACGCGTGTCATGTTCGTGTACGCTTGGCAACTTTCGGTTCTTCAATTATTCTACCTCACTTTTTGCAAAGGTAGTATTTGCTTCATTTTTTTATTTGTCGTTTCTAGCTGTCGCCCTCTAGTCGTTGCTTGTTGTCGTTTAGCCGTTGTTGCTTGTTGTCGTTCTCCGGTCATTGCTTGTTTTCGCCACCCATTTAAAGGGTCGATTCCTGCGTCTGCCCGGTGGAAGTACGACGTTGGCTGGTATTTTTGAGGGGTCCAGTGATAGTAAAAATAACCGCATCGTGGCCCAGGCATCTTCAAGAGAGCTATGTGCACCTGTTTGAATATCTTCACAGAGCAGGGCCTTCGTCATTCTTTGAAGACTCACAGTAGGTTTGCTTCCCGCTCCCAAACCCAGTGCTTTTCTCAGAACAGGCAGTCTAAAGTAATACGAATTACATCAGTTGTCATAGAAAACAAAATGAGACTTAGGACATCAACATCTCGGTTTGATTACATTTAAGCTTTTCATTCTGCTCTTCGCTTGCAATCAGGCAATGATGTATCTAGGTGCTAATAATCCTACTCACTGGGTGACATCTATGATCTTGTCTTCAGGGTGCTCGATGCCAATGGACTCGAAGTCTGTGTGCACAGTGTGACCAACTACATACTTACCACGAATCACTTCTTTGATCTATCAAAAAAATAAGTTTTATTACGGCAAGTTGTTGTAAGTTTTAAATAAGAAGGCGGGTGGGTATTCATTTGTGCCAAATTTAAAAATCAACCGTGTTAGTATGAAAAACATTCAGTTGGCCAAAGACTACTAAACCTACTATGATGCGATAACCAGCTCTAATTTTTGTATGAGCCCAACCTTCTGTTGACAAGCTCGCGACACATTGGCGCGAAAGCGGCAATCACTATTCAGCTGCTTTATTTTATGCTGTTTGAACAGTGGAAAATTTGTTTTATTATTCGTTGGCTCACAATTTGACCAATTAAAAATCGAGTTGAATAATTTTTGTACAAATGCGACTGATATTTTATTTTGGTACAAAAGAATCTTGGTACACATGGATTGCACAAAAAAGGCACCCAATTTCCGTCAAAGTCTCATCACTAAGCAAGGACGAATTCGTTCATCAGGAAGAAAAAATTCCTGTAAAAAAGCAAATGCATGAATACGGAAAAGTTTATCATTTTTAAGTATTGTACTTGCAGGATCAAAACGACAGAAGACACTAAGCCGAAAAAAATATATTGAAAAAAAATAAAAAAAAAACAAGATCTTTACAAAAATTTTATACGTTAGGTGATGTCCAATAAAAACCATTTGTTTAACTTTGATTTAGACAATTGGTTTATAAAAAGTTTGTTAAACTTATTCGACCAATAACCAATAGGTTGAACTGATTTGGTTAAAAAAAGATCTCCTTCAACCTTAAATCTTCACTCATACAATAGTTTTTCAGGAATGCATTCTGGATCTGATTAAGTCGAAGGATTCAAAGATTCTTTCCCAGACCCTCCAAACCTTCGCTCATTCGTGTTTGCTCTCTTCATATCAAATGAATTTGCTTTGATATGCAATTTCCACAAAAAACAGTGTGTTCACCCTTATAACATGCATGATTTTCAATATATTTGAGAGGTTTTATCATTCGTTTTTATCATTGCTTAAAACCAAAATTGGTAAACCCAATTTGATTAAAACGTTTTAACTTGTTAATGGTTAAGAAATCAAGTTAACATTTCTAGCTGGTCATCACTGCATCCGTTATTCACGCATGATGTTCATTTTGAGGAAATCATTTGCGAAAACATTGAAAAATTTAATCATTCAAAAAAATTTACCGTGCGGCACTTAAATTGACGACAATTGGGTGACGCCACTGTAACCTAAAACCTAATATTGTCATTGAAAATGTTTTGAAACTCGAACTTTTTCCGCACTTGGCACATCAAAGCATAACAACATGTTTTGGTCCAGGGGCGGATCTAGGATTTTCTCGAGGGGGGGGGGGGGCGGATTTTCAAAAAAAAAATTCGAAAATTTTGACCTTTTTTTTTTAGGTCGACCAAATTGATTTTTCGTGCTCTCCCAAAGCACTGATTAGCCCCTATTTTGGCTAAATTTTCTGCGCCGCAGGCAAATTTTTGAAAAAACAGTCAAAAAAGCCGTTTTTGGGCACTTTTTGAAAAATGTTGACAAAAAAATCGCGTTTTTTGGCGCGCGCTCCCCCTCAAAGTTAGTATATATTGGCTCCAAAGGCGCCTTTAGAAAAATTTTAGGGTCGGTCGGCCAAAAATGGATTTCTGAAAAAGTATAAAAGGGGGGACCCCCCCCTAAATCCGCCCCTGTTTTGGTCCATCAAAATTATCTAACCAATCCGACACAACATAAGCAGATATGACAGAAACCATTCATGCGAAAAAAGAGAACAAAACAGGAAGGAAATTATACAAAATCAGAGTTAGTAAGCTTACAAATTACAGAACGAGTTTCAAGTAATAAAAAAGAAAATGCTTGAAAGGAATCAAACGGACAATGATGTTTTTACGAAAATAGATTCGATGTTTTGGAAAATTCGGCCACAGAAAATAAGCAGACAAAAGAGCATTCACAAAAATTCCAATTTAGACAAATTCGGAAACAAACAAGGTCCGACTGGGACTCGAAACTGAGACTTCATTATCGAAAGCGTATCTCAACGTCTAAAACAAATAAGAAGGACCGGAAAGATAGAAAGGTTCCATAAAAAATCGTAAATTTCTAACAGATTTTTTAAACTTGCCTACTAAAAAAGTGAAGTTCCCGATTGCAATATTTTTTTAAAATAGACTTGGCCTTTAAGCTCTTATGATTTAATGATTTTATTTATTTCACATGATTAACTTAATGATTTGAATGATTGATTGTTTGTTATTTTATTTCTCCTGATTACGTTTCGCTGAAACAAAAAACACTTTCAAACCTCGTTTTGAGCCACAAAGAAGGCTTTTGCCGTTTTCATGTGGTGAGGGTGTACACCACTGTACTGAGTTCGGAAGTCAACGATGCTTTCATTCGGCCGAACGTAACTGTCATAAACCACGTCTCCAACTCTGTCAACAATTGTACACCTGGCTAAGGCGCTGTGGCTTGCAATTGTCTGAACCATTTCGCAATCCAGAGCAACATACTTGTCCTCGTCCGATTTCTCATTCTTCCTCTTTCTTGAGTGGCCTGTGTTTGAAGCGCCAGAAGCCTTGTCAAGTGAGTCAAAGGCAGCCATAGGCGATCTTAAATCAGAATTATTGGCTTTGGTGGAATGGATAAGGGTAATAAATTCCAATCAATTTCAGAGTTTGATCCCTCAATTTCAAGCAATTTACTCAGCATTTTCGAGACAATTACACTGAAAATTTTGCTTCAGATTTAGCGACTTTCAAGCACAAAATCAGCAGATTTACGAGTTTGTACACCCAAGCCAAGATTTTTGCCCAATTTCAAGCACGAGTGAGAAGCAGCATTTTCGACCCGATTACAATCACAACCTTGATTCAGAATGAGTATGATTTAAGCATGTTTTTTAAGCATGATTTAACCAGTTTGAGAAGCATTTGTTTTAACACAATGGCTAAGCTGAGCTTCGCAACACACAAAAACTATCTGCCACAACAAATACTTCAAATATAGTCCTTATACGTAATCAAAAAAAGAAGAGAAACAAGGATAGCCGGTTACTGTGCAAAAGGCACAGAATCTTCCGGCCATAGTCTTCAAAAATACGTTTTTTCAAATTATTGTTTTTTTTCGGCGTGGAGTGATAAAAGAAGCTGAACAATAAACTGGAGTTTAGGTATACTCCACAGTCAGAGTAAAACAAGCAAATCTAAAAACATTTTTTTAAAGAAATTTTACTTGGAAAATGAAAAAATATCAAAATTTTTTTTTCAAGTTCAGCAGTTTTTTTGAATTTTGCTCCAAATAAGACGAAAATTCAAAAATTTCAAATCGGTTTTTCTCGACACGTAGGAAAAAAACTTTCGAATCACGACTGTACGGGCTTTAATATGATATATCACTTAACTCAGTCCGATGATTATTTGTGGTACATGATTTTGCGTGGAAAACAAAAAGGAAAAAAACTAAAACACAACCTAATTCAAAGTTCCTCCCCTTTTTCTATGGTAAGAGCGAAAACTGTTATATACTCCAGTTTTTCCCGCAACATTCCACAAATTTTTCTACAGTATCCACGACCCAATCAGCCACAGTTATTCTTCAAAAAGTGTCGAATAAAAAAACAACCAACTAAAAATTCTTTTAAAAAAAAAAAAAAGTTAGATCAGTATTGACTTGATTCTTTTCAAAACTGGGGGTGAAATTGAAAAAGCGTACAGATACTTCCTGAACTCAAACCCTAGCTGTTTGTAGTGTCAATCATGGGAGTTACTTCTATGACAAACACGCAGACGGCCTATGTCAACTAAGCAGAAAAATCGTTGTCCGATCATTATTTTTCAAGCTGAAACCTGGACCATCGTAACGCCGGTCTTGTTATTTATCTCGAAAACATTCCATGAACTAAGCCATCCAATGATTCGTGATACTACTAGACAAGTTAATCGCATGGAAAACTTTCTATGATCAAAAATGACAATGCTTGTTCCTCGCAAACATGTGTGATTCCTTTTAACTTCGAAAGCCTCATTTAAAGCTAAGGCAAAAATTTTTCAAAGTTATTTCCAACTTTGGTCGAAAATTGTTAGTTAGGATAATTAGAAAAGGGAAACTTATATAGAGGAATTGAAAGAAGAAATTATATCAACATTTTTGAAGAACCAAAAGTGAATGTGAGACTACGACGTTACAGTTAGAAATAATACGAAAAAAATTTCATCAAGGTTTGATTCCAAAATTAAAATAGCAAACAGCAGAGTCCACGCAGTTTGGTTTCTAGAACCACACTGTACTCGATAATACAGATATTAATTATTAAAACAAAAACGGAAATTGAGCCCATGAAAATTATAATGAAAAACCCGAAAAAGAATTGAACATTTTCTTCATACAGTTTTCAGTCATCGTGTTGGTAACCGAATTTTACCATAGCAAAAGGAACCTCTGATATACCATTCAAAAATTTTAACGTTGACTTAAAAAATTATATCCCTCGAAACTTTCAAATCAACGCTTAAATAACTTATTTTGATAGGGGTCACTCAAAAAAAAATGCTGAATTTTAAGGCGCATTCTTACCACATTTTTTTTCAAATGAGTGCACCTTCTTTTCTACACATAGACAAAGCCGAGTTTCGCAACACTAATGAAACCAAGAAAACATAGTATTGCAAGCTAGCAGACAGAAACTGAGACAAGACAAAGCCGAAGTAAATAATTTTCAAAAATTTAAAACCAATCTACAAAATTCCATACAACTAAGCCGATAAAACATTCTTTGACGTCAGTCGAACCGAAAACTTAAATGATGTCAAAGGAAATTTTGAGTTGTAGGAATTTTAAATTCGCAGTTTTTAGAAGAAACTAATGAAGAAAAATGAAAGGAAACGAAAGCAAGCCTACCAAAATTACAAATTACAGCGATTTTCAATAACAGTACAAACTACTTCAATCAGAAGAAGCATAATAATTTGACGAAAAATTCCATACTTTGGAACGTCGACCGACGAAAACTGAGTAGAAAAACGATGTTCCGATAATTCAAGTTCACTAAAAAAAACTCGATTTCCAAAAAAAGGTCCGGCCTAGACTTGAATCCTAGACCTTATGTTCTGAGGCTGGGTGCCTTATTTCTAGACTCTAGACCTAGTGAAAAGGTGATTGTAAGAAGTTGAGGCAAGATCTTTTTCTTAGTTTATTATAAAATTGTTTTCAGAAAAAAATCTAGATATCGATTAAAAGAATATTTAACGCTAGTAAAAATGAGTACACATTGTTTTCTAATGAATCCACAATTGGGCCATTAGACCAGAAGGATCTTGCGCAGAAGTCTACGAATTGTGAGATATCGAGCAGCCGTGGCCGAGTGGGTTAGGTACACATCCCACTTCAGTCACGGTTGGAGGAGTCCCAGTGTCATCTGCCTCCCAAGGTGGGACCGGCTGCTGCGAAATGGATGACATCTATCTCCCCCACGATTGGTCCTGTACTGAGCAGGACCGGGGGCTAATAAAAAAATGTGAGATATCACGTCTAGATGTATAATTAGCAAATGATGTTGCGGTAAAGGTTGAAAGATTAAGAAGCACCTAATGTTTTTCAGACCATTGAAATAGCGAGGTACTTTGTCTTCGGGTGTGTTGTTTTTTTTATTATTATTATTGTTTTCCACGCCAAACCAGGTACCACAAATTATCATCGGAATAGGTTGAGTAATCCTTCATATTAAAGCTCTTTCAGTCGTAACTGGAGCGATATTCGGAAAATTTTAATTTTTTTAAACAGTGTCGAGAAAAACCGGATTGAAAATTTTCGAGTTTCATTCTAATTGGAGCGAGTAAAGTGATCGAGTAACAAACGACTGATCGAGACTCGTTTGAATTCTTTTAGTTATTTCATTTTCGAACACATCTGTTGTCGCTTACGCCTACTTTGCTAAATTTCATAGCGTTTTTATAATTCTCTCATCGCATCGCGCACAAGAAAGGACACTAACTTTACAAGAAAAAACTAATTTTTGTAGTGTTTTATGAAAAAGGTCGGAACATTCGGTGCTGCTCGCACAGCAACCCTTGTTAAATTATGAATTAGACCAAAAAAATTAATGTAACTCAATTCCGGGAACGAACTATTTTCAATCGTGGCAACAAAACAGAGCTATAACACATTCACGAAATCCTCTCGAGATAATAAAATCTAACGATGAAATGATAGCATAAAATAGGATTACATAGCAATAAAGGGACAGGTCATAAAGTTTACAGATCATCAAGTAGACAGTAAATAAAATTATCCAAACTGAATCAAGATAAAAAACATTAAACGTAAGAAACAATCATGAATTATTTCGTACAAAAGTTAACATAGCTAACAAAAAGTTGGAAAAGAGTCAACGAATGCAAGGAAACAAAAAAATAGCCGTTTTTTTTCTGAAAAAAACTTCAACTTTCGAAATTAAACTTCAAGTAGAACAGATTTTGCGTGACCTTACCTCTTTGCAGTTCGATAGCAAAACTTGCTTTCCTTTCCAAAAATGAACTGAACTTAAATTAGAATCATAAGTCAAACCGCGAAAAATCAAATTTTTATGTTCAAATAGATTAAAATCTTTTTAGAGTTCCAAGTGGCAATGAGTTTGAGCATTCAAAAACTTAAACTTGGGGCCAAAGACTTCAAGATTTTTAAAACAATGTCGGAAATTTGTAGGCAACAAAAAATTAGGTGAATAAGCCAAAAGAATTAAAGCCGACAGCCAATTAGCTGAAAATCAACCAAAATTGTTCGGCAAAATTCTGTTGGAAAAAATACCGGTACTGCTCAAATAATAAAAATGTAAGCCGTATATGTACTAAAATTAGGGTGTTATACACAATTCGCAAGCTAAACCGAGAGCTTATCGAAAACCGAAAGATCATAATATTGATGTTAAAGCGTAATATCGCTGTTTTGATCACTATACAACAACTAGATCCATCAAAATGAATGAAAATAGTGTTAAAAAACAAGAGCAGACAATAGTATGCAAAACTAGCAACGGAACAAAACACACCAAGCGGTAACAAAACAGAAAAAACCTCAGTATAAACCCTTCACGCCGAAAAAAAATCTTACTAAATAGAAAAAACGTTCCCCTCAGATCAAATACGCAAACAAAAAAAAAATTTGGTCATCAAGCGACGCAATAGGAGGCGTCTAAGTCAATAGAAAAAGCCGAAACCGATTAATCCGAAAAGACAAAAAATTGAAGAAAAAAAAGAAATTTTAACAAACTAAGTTGGTAAAATTACAACCTATATAAAAATTTCGATTCGGCTAGATTTCTAAAATGCTAAAACACTTAAAACAATTATAATGAGCAGTTTACAGCAAAAGTAAACAATTCATAGATCTGGCAACTAAGCCGATAAAACATAAGTAGACAAATAATAGACCGAATTTTTTTAGTACCGGAATTTTTACTGTTTGAAAAAAGTGGTCCAGATAAGATTGAAACCCTTGATTTTTGCGTACTCGTTACCTCTAGGCTTAAGAGTAGCAGGCAGTAAGAAATTTGAATTCATTATGAACCAAGGTACCACCAGGAGTCAATAAGTCCTGTAACAAAGTTATTTACGGTAAAAAAAAGTCTAAAACAAAATTGCAATACCCTTGCTTATTGCAGGGGTAAAGACTTTCCTTGAAAAAAAAACAAAAAATCATCACGACCTCGTCATAATCGTCATAAGACTCTTCAAAACGTTCGTCGACTCTCAAAAACGTTACATCAGGCAGATTTTGTAAGTTTCGCTCGGAAATCACATATGGACGCAAAAAATTCCAAACGACAAAAATAAAAAAAACTGAAATACACTATATCTTGTAAATTAACTACTAATTGTTTTCAGTTAGGATGTGAAATAAAATAAACATGCTCAAATTGTCCTCAAAAACATGCACAAAAACTGCTGGCCAAATGATTCGAAGTAATTTTGTCAAAACAAGTTGTCAAACTAAAAAGTCTAAATTCCGATTTGGTAACGCTAGCTAATTGCAAGCGTTATCATAAAATTCACTCAACTATCCTAAATCTGACATTCATGGCAATTAACTTCCATTCCAATCATTTATTTTATATTTAGCTATGCCTTGATCCGCGCCTCAAGGTTTTTTCTACTTACCAGTTTAAAGTTGAATCGAGCAACCGGTTCACAGTAATGAGTGAGCTGTTCGGTAAATGTTATACACCACGTAGCTTAATTTTTAAACCAAGACATTCAAAATGAGACGAGTTGCAAGACGAACATACGTAGTGAAAAGGACAAATCTTAACCACACTTTTCATGCAATACAAATTCTTGAAACAGAAAAGAAGTGGAGCTTCGCAGCACGTGCTAGACAACAGACAGCATGGCCAGCTAGCAGACAGAAATGAGAACAGCTAAATTTAAAAAAAAATCAACATTTTTTTCTACTTAGCGGCTCTTATTTTTCTGTCGGATATCCGGCCATCCTACGACGCGGCGCCTTTAGAAAATTAGAGCCTGTTAGCCTAAGCGAACGTCGTTAGAAGCTAGCCTTTTTAAAATTTAAGACTTTGAATGATTTAGTATAAATTTGAGTATTTAAAATTGTTCTGACTTTTAAACAAAGTAACGGAATATTTGTATTCGGCGTAGTTTTTCTCCAAATTAGCCATTTTATAACAATTTTTTTTGCCATTTGAAAGCCAGTGATGTCCTTATTTTAAAATTAAAAAAGTTACCTATAACCTTTTTTTGAAAAAATATCGTGGTTTGAATATTGCAAATTTGGGACAATTAACGCGCAAGATGTTTCGTGCTATTAGCGTGTAAGCAGGAATTTAATCCGCTCAAAAACTGTTCCAAAATATTTAAGATATTTGGTGTTAACTTTGTTTTTGGCATAGCTTGTGGTGGAAGTTTTCAAAAAAACGCGACTCTTGAAAATTCTAATATATTTTTTCACTCGATGTGTTCAAAATCTGTTTCAAAGACGCATAAGGACAGGCCTGAAGCATATATGATACAGGCCGTAACTTATTAGGCCAAAAACTCAGGAAAATTAAAAAAAATTAAGAATGATAAAAAAGTTATTAAGACCCCCTCACCATCAAATTACCACACAAACAAAAAATCGCTCATAAAATGACGGAATAAAAGGGCAATAGTCCGATATACTATACGCCAAAACTTACTCAGCCAAAAAAATTTCAAAAAGCCGAAAAAAATTAAGATTAATTCAAAATTATTAAGTCCCCCTCACCCTAAAACAACACACGCACAAACACACAGACATTCAAAAAACACTTTTTCGCTTGGCGAACGGCTTAATGAGGTCAGTAAGGCAAAACAAAATAGGCCGAAACCTATTAAGCCAAAAATCGGGCAAAAAAAAAACAAAAATCCGAAAAAAAGTTCAACAAAATTTGAAACGTACAAAAAAATTTAATTTCCTCTCTCAATTGAAACACACAGGCCAACAAAAAATTGCTCATAAAACGCACAATATGAAACCACTAAGGTGATATAAATCAAGCCGAAACCTACTAAGCCAAAAAAGGACAAAAACAAACAAAAATCCGAAAGAAAAATTTCAAAACACAAAAACGCGAGGAAGTTTTTTGCTCGTCAAAGAGCTCAACATGAGGCCACTAAGCCAATATAATTTACGTCGAAACCTATTAAGCCTAAAAAAACTACAACAAAAGCAAAAAAAAATAGTAATAAATCGAGTTGGAATTACAACCAACAAAACAAGATAGCCACTAAATCGGAAAAAATTTCAAAGATAAAAAAATGTGAAATTAGCATGGAAAAAAAATTTACCAAGCGGTAACAAAGCCGAAAATACATTAGCAGAAACCTTTTGAGCCGAAAAAAAATCATCAAGACTAAAACTTATAAAAAAAGAACAAGTCTCCCTCACCTTCAAAGCACACACAAACACAGAGCTTTATTAGCTCATCAAATGAAACAATATGAGGCGACTAAGCCGATATAGTACAGCCCAAAAACTATTGAGCCAAAGAACGAAAATTAAAAAAAGACGAAAAACAATTCGAAAAAATTCAAGACTTATGAAAAATCCCTAAGCCTCAAACCACACACGCACACACAATTTTTTGCTGGTCGAAAGACGCAATATGATGCCATTAGGCCGATATATTTATATATAGGACGAAACCAATTAAGCCGATATAATGCAGGCCGAAACCAATTAAGCCGAAAACCGGAAAAGAAAAAACTAAAAAGCCGAAAAAAATTGTTGTCATGAAAAACTTGAACAAAAATGTCTCAAGAATTTACCAATTGTGCGAAAATATCCCAATTCCCCACCAAAACTCAAGATTAGAAAATCCTATAACACTTGGCATTGGAAAAAGTCTCCTATAAAACACCCGAGTGTCCTATAAAAGTATCCCATAACACTCAAGATTGGGAAAAAGTCCTGATTCCCAGTCTTGGCTGAAGAACTTGCTAGTTTCATGACATATTTCGTCTCAAACCCATGACATATTTCGTCTCAAATATGGACGCTGCTCCCAAATTAAACTGGTATTTCAAAATTGATATACTATTAAAGTGAAGTGAACAACGACACAGTGATTTTTGATAAACAAATTAACCGAAAAAAAACTTTTTAACCGGAATAAAGCTGCAAAAAAAATACTTCAGGCTTGATTGGTTTTTAATTTTCAACTGACATCCCTTAATTTAAAAAAAGGGTTAGAATCTAATGATAGTAAATTTTCAAAAACAAATTAGCTCATTAGTTTGTTCAGTTTTTTCGAGTTTTTCTATATTTATCTCCACCCAAAGGAATGCTATAAGTACAGACGATCGTACAATCAAAAGCAATAAATGTTTTAAAACAATTTTGTTACTTGAATTGAGAAAAAAAAACAAAGAATTTGGAACACAATTTCAAAAAAAATACTGAAATTTTACTTGTTTAATTTTTTCACTTTTTAAAAATTTGCACCGTTTCATCAAATGAACTCAATCCTTCCCCTATAATTCCAAAGAAAAGTAATCCAGAAACAGACTTAAGGAAAATAAACCGACAGAATTGAAGTTCACCGATCTGTGCAAAAAAGACCAAAAAAATTGGACTCCTAAAAAATTCATTTCCAACTCTCAATGTAACACAACTAAAGGCCGCGTCGTTACCGCAAGGAAAAAAAGAAATTGAACGTCATTAAGCAACCATGCAGTTTTTACCGTTTGATCATTGTGCCTGAAGTTATTTACGGGAAAAGTCTAAAACCCGATTGCAATACCCTTGCTTATCGCAAGGGTAAACAGGACGGATATTTTAAACATTAACAAACTCAAAAACAAGCTTATTATCTGTAAAAGAGAGGAGTAGGATTTGCAACGAGGACAAAGTGAAGGAGTCCAGGAGCTAGTCCTTACAGCTGGTGGTTCTGGGAAGGGACTCTTCAGGGGAGGCGATGTTTGGAAGCGGAATACAAATGACTTTTGAGAGAGGGGTTTCTGCTAGGAAATTGTTAACGAAGTTAGTATGGTTATGTTTAAGGAGCGAATTGCGTTGGTTAAAAACGACAGTTTAAACTTCTTTGAGTCGTTAAGATATAGTGGCGGGTTTTGGTCGGTTAAAAGGGAGCCTGTGTCGTCTTTAAAAGCACTTAAAAAGGATTGTCCAACTTGACGTGGAGGTGGATCTGGTTAAAGTTGGTTTTCAAACACTGACTTCGTCGCTTAGACGACCAAATTTCCCCACTTTTCCCTTACTGTAAATTTTCACCCGACACTAGTTGCCATATTTTTAACTGCCCCAGAAATCCCTCACCTTTTACTCCCGCAGACCTGTGGTTACAGCCTGTAAAATTTTCGACGTTCCTTAACCTGGACACAAACAAGCAGAACCCTTCCAACATGGGTTTTGAAAAATTAGATAGCCCTTAGAACAAAGTTACTTACAGGGAAAAAGTAGCAACGGTAATGAACTAGAAAACCGAAAAAAAAAACTTTTTTTCGAAGTTTTGTATTATTTTGTTTATTCATTTCTGAGCTGAATGTCGAAATATATTTAACTGTCGTTTTAGCGACCGCCTCACTGCGTCCCGAATAGTTCAGTGATGTCCAATATAACCATTTGTTTACAATTGGTTTGTTAAACTAATTTAACCAATAATCAATTGCTTAAACCAATTGGGTTAAATATAGGTCTTTTTAACCAATTTACTGGACCATGCATTAGTTTTCCAAGACTGCATTCTGAATCTAAGTAACGCCAAGGAAATGTTTTTTTTGCGCCACACTAAACCTTCACTCAGTCCTGCTCCATCTACAAAATTTGCTTTCCGAACACTTTTGAAACTTGCATCAATTACTATAAAATTTGTTTTATCAATATTTTAAAGCACAATTGGTTAAACCGATTTCTTAAAAAAAAAATTAACTGGTTAATGGTCTAAAAAACGGTTTAATTTTTTAACTGGACATCACTGGAACAGTTCAGTTCCCGATACTCAACCTTCGAATATCTAGTATGGTAAAATGTAAAGCTAGGTTGATGTGAATTTGTAAAATTTAGTTGGCATTATTATTTATAAATCATAGCCAGTACTCATCGGCCAAATACATATCATACGGGTTGTTCAACTCATAATTTTGGGTACTTAAGTCTTGGTCTTCGTTGTTCTGTTTAACTTTTTTCAACAGGGGCACGTGTCTATCCAAATTGGTATCTCTTTCGTTGTCGTTGTTGGTTGTCGCTACCATCGCATATGGGCGTTTCTTGGGTTCAGCGGGAGGGAGTACTACATTGTGTTGTATTTGTGATGGGTTCCGTGACAGCAGAAATATCTTCATCGTAGCCCAGGCATCCTGGTAGGAGCAATGCTCGCCTGTCTGGATGTCTACGTCGAACAGGGCCTTGGTCATTCTCTTCAGCGAGACACTAAACTTGTCATTCGCATTCAAACCCAGCAGTTGTCTTACAGCAGCCAGCCTAGAACAACACCTCTTACTCATCAAACAGTCTATTTAAAAGACCTCCGCAACGTATATGCATTTTAAGTTCCGCAAAACACAACAGCAAAAAACTGACTCTAGACGACAAAAAATACAGAAGATTTCTTTTTATAGCATCGGTGTTTCTGCAACGAGAGGCTTTGAGTTAAGTTCAAGAAGTATAACTAATACGACTTCAGATTGTCATGCTTGTAACGCTCATCAAGACCTTAACCTTCGCAAATAACGAAGACTTTCCTTACTTGAAAGTTAAAGTTAAGTTTTTAGGGCTTAAAATTTTAATTCATCCTAATTAAGCTGTTGTAAGTCTGCTCGCTTGCTTTATTCGCTCGAAGCCTGAAATCAAAAATTTGAAACCTGTTTTTCTCAACACTGGGAAAAAATTTTCAAATCTTTTAATGTCGTTCGAATCACGACTGAAAGGGCTTTAATATGATATATCACTCAGCCCAGTCTAATGATTATTTGTGGTATCTGGTTCAGCGTGGAAAACAGAAAAAAAAGTTAAAACACACCCGAATACAAAGTTCTTCCCCATAATCAATGGTCGGAACAAAAACTTTTAAAAAAACATAGCCAACAGACAGCTGAAAAGATTCAATGAACGGAAGGAAACTGACTTGTTGGTATGGAAAATATATGACCTTAAAGCTCTTTGAAATTCTGGAAGAAATTATGCTTGACACTTTTCAAATCAACTAAGCGAACTTGAGGAAACTGAAACGATAAATAATTTTTTTGTTCTGCTGAATCTGAAAATCAAAATTCAATTTAGAAACAAGAATTCGATTACGTTTCTTGTAACCTTTACACTTTGCTATTCGATAGTGGAGTTTGCCTTCATTTAAAAAGAAATCAACTTAAAAATAAATCAAAAGTCAAACAGTGAATGAGTAATTTTGAGCCTGAAAAAAAAACAAAAAAAACCATCGCGACGTATATAAGAACTACGTTCATCGACTCTCAAAAACCACAAAATATATATTTTTTAATTCAAATTGGTATCGTTTTTAGGCATGGTGTGATGTGAGAACCATACGAAGATGTAGAACACTAGTGATTTAAATGTTTCACTACTTAAATGAAAACCTCACTCAAAATAAGACTAAAACTCAAAATTTCCAACCGGTATCTCGAAAGTTTTTTAAATTCCTCAGAACCGAGACTGAAAGGGTTCCGTTATGACATTCGAGCCATTCAGATGATTATTTGTGGTATCTCACTTTGTGTTTAAAACAAAGAAATTAAAACGCTCCCGATGACTAAAATTTCATCCCCTTTTTTCAATAATTGGAACAAAAACATCGGCGACTACGGGATCAACCGGACCATCGGCCCAAGAGTCATTTGCCAGAACTATTTTTCCAGGGTCTATTCGTGTCAAGATACCAGGCAGCAAAGAATGCGATCAATAAAACGAATATAACAAGATACGCGATTTCATTAGACCAAATCTTTGCACTAAGAAAATGACTACAGTGCTGATTTAAGTTATCGTGACAAAACGAACCAAACTTGAATTTTCAAACGCGTTTTTCTCAAATTGGGTCAAGATTAGAAAAAAAGTGAACAGAACAAAAGTTGCTTAGAATCTCATCAAAGTTAATATGATGCAAATTTTTCTCCGAAAATCTCAACCAAAATTTTACCCCAAAAATGGGTAATTTTGGCTTTCATCAATGAATCAAGAATTAGGCTGAAACTACTTTGGTAATTGATGAGAAATATATATCACAAGAAGCTTCTTACACAGCTCAAAAAAGTTCTGGAAGGGTTAAATCTCCAAAAACCTGTATAAGAGAAAATATTTTTGCTTGATAGTCAAATGTGATTTTCACTATATAAAACCCAAAATCTTTGCTTATAAACAAATTTTAAACAATTTATGCTAATTTTTTGAGATTTAACTTTTCTGAAGCTTTGTTGGGCTGTATGAAAAGCTTCTTGTGGTATATATTTCTCATCAATTAACAAAATAGTTTCAGTGTAATTCTTGATTAATTAAAAAGCCAAAATGACCCATATTTGGGTTAAAATTTTGGTTGAGAATTTCGGAGAAAAAGTTGCACTATATTAATCCTGATGAAATTCTAAGCAATTTTCGTTCTCATCTTTTTTGTCTAATCCTAACCCAATTTGAGCAAAACGTGTTAGAAAATTCATTTTTTCCGTATAATTTAAATCCCTAATACTTATAACACTACGATTGCAAGAACGCTTGTTTTAGTTAAACTGGTCCTCAACCAAAAGGAAACAGAAATACAAATTGAAATTTTGTTTCAGGATAGTTTTGCAAACTGAACAAAGTCAAAATCACTAGGAACACCAATGTGTGGTTTATTTTTTTAATTTATTTTGATACATATTTTTCAAAATAGGTTGCTCTTAGAAGAAAATGTGAAGCATTTAATATTTTAATGTGAAGCATTTAACTGTAATTAAAGAAAAACATTGCTCTGGTAACTAAAAGGGCAGAGACACAAACGAATATAGCCACTAGAAAGTTGCAAAAGAGTTAATGAAATAAATAGCGAAAAATCACCAAATTTTGGAAGCACTTTCACATAAAAAAAAACATTTCTTTGAATCTTTTCATATATCGAAAATAATGAATGCTTCACATCTCTTCTAAGAGCAACCTATTTTGAAAAATATGGATCAAATTGAAATAAAAAAATAAACCACATTTTTCTTTTGATATTAGATACAAGATCGAGCTTAACTTTTAACTTGAGCCTATACGAACTTGAAACATCCAAAACTGGTTTTCTTTATAGTAAAATCAAGTTAGGGTAAACGTCTGAAAAAAAGTCAATTTCTATACAGCGAACGTTCCACGCTCGCGTTACTCGCCCTAAATAAGACTCAATCTCTAAAATTTCAAACCCGCTTTTCTCGAGACTTAATTTTTTGACATTTTTCAAATCCTTTGATCTGAAAAGTCTTTGATTTGACATATCACTCGACCCATTCCGATGAATATTTGTGGTATCTGATTATGCGCAGGTAACAAAAAAAAACACCCGAATTCAAAACTCCTGTCCAGTTTCAAGGGTCGGAACAACGTCTTAAAAAGTGAAAAAAAAACTTCTTTCAATTGTTTGTTAAGCTGAAAAATATTTTTCACAGCAATTCGTAAAATAAACCAATCGAATTACGATATAACTAAAGGACTATAACATGATATCATTTTCTACCCATTCTTATGATCATTATTTTGAGTTTTAAGTTTTTTCTTAGTTTTAAAAAACATCCAGATTTTAAAGTTCTGCAGTACAGCGCTCAAAACAAAAGTGATCTTACTAAATTAGCTGTTTAAGGTAATTGGTTTCAACTCCGACAGTTGATTTGGTAAGCTTGCTAATCTCAAGTAATAAACATAGGCGCTACGCGCAATACACCGAAGGCATAGAAACTGAAGCAAAAACCAAACAACTTGAACAACTAATAATTGAAGAATAACAGTTCTAGAACAAAAAATCGTACTAATACATGTATACACCAAAATTTTGCTATATCGAGAAAGAGCCTGAAATAACAGTTCTAGAACTAAAAATCGTACTAACACATGTATAGGTCAAATTTTTGATATATCAACGAAGATCATAAAATAACACTTCTAGAACTAAAAATCGTACTAACACATGTATACACCAAAATTTCCCATGAACAAATAACCAAACAAACAGACCCATAATATAAATAAATGAAAATAAATAAATTAAATAAATACACACGCAGAAATAATAAAAGCAAAACTAAATGAAAGAAAGAATAATTAAATAAATAAGCAAAACACGTGATAAAAATAAACAAAAATAAATATGTACATACATAAATTATAAATAAATATAAGCAAACTAAACATAATTATACGAATAGAAGAACAGATAATTAAATAAATAAAGATGAACAAATAAAGAAACAAACATACGCAATCACGTGACATAGCGCGATATAGTCCAGCCCACATGATAATTGATAACTGTGGACGTTATTTGTCGACACTTGACAACAGACAACATTAAAAAAAAAAACCCGTTACACGATACCATAACACCTTGACTAAAGTCTTCGGTGTAAAAACTTGGGCCAGTTTCATATTTTTTCATAACAAAAAATCAAAATTTTGTGAAACTAGCTTATATAAGATGTTTTCACCAATTAACAACAAGCAAACCGACATGCAGCAATTTTTTTTTACTTTTCCGAGTTTCATTCGAATAAAATCATCGGCGGTTTCAAACATCCGTGGCCAGTGGGTTAGGCACGCATCTCAACACGAGGGTCATGCGTTCAAATCCCACTTCGGCCACGCTTGGATGGGTCATAGTGTCATTCAACTCCTCAAGGTGGGACCTTTTGCGGCGAAATGGATGGCAGCACCCTCCTCTATGGCTGGTCCTGCATTGAGCAGAACCGAAGACTTATCAAAAACGATTTCAAACAGAGTTGAACGCGTAAGACTGGACTGATCAGAAAAAGGAACGTAGAAAGTAGAAAAAGGAACAAGGAAATTTTGACTCTTTTTCCTCCACCTCACATAAGCATCAATTTTACACAGAGGTAAAGGTGCCATTCGCATACATAAGCAAAAATGTGACCAGTAACCTCTTCAGAAAAACTGAATGAGTAAAACTTTGAGTCCAAAAAATTTCTTAAGAGACGCAGGCCAATTACAAGTCTACATAAATGCGATGTGACGCAATTCAATTATGACGCATTAGCAGTCAATTTGAAAAAAAAAAGAAATTTACCAACTAAAATGCCTCAATTTATAGAGCGGGTGCATTTTTACTAGTATACAAAAAGTTCATTAAAACAACCGACCCTGCCCAGGTTCGAACCCGCTTATTTCGTTGCGGGTCTCCTTCCCTACCTCTACTCTACAGATCTAGGATACCTTGAATCTAAAGTGCTATTGGTAATGTAATAGTCTGTGTTAATATCCTTAGCATTGGCTGTACTTAATAGCTGGTTATGGATCAAAATGGACACTTTCAAAATGAACATATTTGCGACTTACGTTGGAAAAAAATGAGAGTTCATACTATCACACAAAATTTGCTTGAGTAATAATGTAACGAGGAGCTTTACAAGCTTAAGTAATAGGACTACATAAGCTAGTCAAGGCTTAATTCGCCCGCATGCCAATTTATGTAAGAGCCGAACAATGTGAACAGAAAAATTACCTACAAAAAATTCGCAGGTGTGGCAATAGCAACACAAAATTCAAAACAGAGGCCAAGTTGCAATTCGCAAACACAAGCTAGAAGACAGCAAAAGTAGCCCTAAAAGGTTTAAAAGAAGGAAAGGTTAAACAAATCGAAATTCTGATTTAGGCGATGTTCCGGAATCGAACCCCGACATGACGCGCCTCACGACCTAGCATCTCCGCCATGGGTGGGGTGCTTGATAAGCCTCGAATACTAGCCACCAATAAACCAAATACAAAGACATGCTAATGCAAAAAAAAACAGATATAATGTTTTTGCTGCTAAAGGCCACCAAATACATGAGCACTTTTATTCTTGACGAGGACTGGAAAAAAAGGATTTCGTAATATGACAGTCAGTACACTCCTTGTAAGCATAGTTGTGTAAGTATAGTTGAATACCTGAAACTCACAAACGAAGGGAAAAAGCAAGAGCATAGCCAGCTTAGAATTAAAGAACGAGAAGCTTCATCATAATAATTCAATTCGTCAATGATAAACTGTTTAGATCCTTTGGGAGCATTCAAGGTTTGAAATTTAATTACGCAGCATGATTACGCACAATTACGCTGTGTTTGCATATTTACGTTGTGTTACCGAGAATGCTGAAAGTATCTATCTAATTTCTGAAGATGCTAGTACTCACTTGTTGATATCAATGACTTTGTCTTCAGGGTGATCGAAGCCGATCGAGTCGAAGTCTCTGTGCACTGTGTGCCCAACTACATATTTGCCACTAATCACGCCTCTGATCTACACAAATAGATAATCTGTATTACAGCAGCCGGTAGCAGGACAATTTGACATACTCTAGACGACTTTGAATGCCACAAAACTCCACACAGAGGCTCACACAAAACTCCACAACCTTTAATTTCAATTGAACCCTGAATTTCAGATTTGGAAGCGTAGTTTTCGAGAAAACAGTGACTTTCAAAATAACAGTCAGAAAATCAAAATTTTGACTTTTCCGAGGGCCATAGGTTTTTCTGGTATATCAATTTGAATTTATTTGGGTATGCAAAGGAGCTTCTTAAAATCCGTTTTCTGAATTAAACCCAAAACCGAAATATGTAAAGGTACTTTTCAGTAAAACTCATAAAATTTCGAAAAAAAAAACGCTCAAAAAATCAAAAATTGACCTTTCCGAGGGCCATAACTTTTTGTGTAAAAAAGTTTCTAGGTATTCGTTAAAGCAGGGGAGCTTCCCACTACCTGTTATCTCCACTGAACCCGCAATATCAGATTTGAGAGGTTAGCTTCCGAAGACTAATCGGAGGGCATAACTTTGTTGAAAAAATTGGGCGTGGCCACATATGCAGGGAGCTTTTCAAAACTATTCTACCAATTGAATATAAGAACTCAGATCTGAGAGGTAACTTTTCCAGCAAAAAAACGAAAATATGGTTCAAACATTCCCCCACAAAAATATGGGTTAAATATTCCCTCACAGACTGTTTCGAAGGCTGTAGACAGAGGGGTTAAGTGAAAAGGGACTATAGAGGAGTATGCGTTTGAGAAAAAAAAACTAATTTTTCCAATATATTTGCAATAAATTTCCATAAAGAAAAAAGTTTCAACAAATCAATTGGTAAGCATAAAACGGACTTGAAAAGTAGCGAGGTGAGTCTTAAATTGTCTTACCCTTATTACAACCTAAAATTAAATCACTAAGCCGATAAAAAAAAAGGCCGAATTGATTTGGGCCTAGGAAATTTTTTAGCGAAACAAAAAAACGAAGGAAATAAGAAATCAAAGTAAGTAAAATTACATGTTGTACGTTAAAAGCATTAAAACATTAAAAGCAACATTTAAGATAAATGCGCGCAGTAAAAAACGATTCCAAGAGCTAAGCAGAGAAATAATTGGCCGACAATTTTATTTGAAACAGAATATTTTCCGTTCGAAAAAAAAACAAGCTCTGGTCAGATTCGAACTTTGCCGCCCAAGGCATATTCGTTGCCTCCAGGTTAAGTTGGCTGGTAACACATAGAAGTTTGAAATCATTATGAACCAAGATACAACTGATTCTGTTAAACAAGTTGTTAACCCGAAAAAAGTCTATTCCAGTTTGATAACACTTGCTAATCGCAAGTGTAATTAGGATGGAAAGATTATAAAAACATATCAGCAAGTAAGCAGACAGAAAATGAGACGAAACCTATACGGCAGACAAAAATTAGATTTTTGAAGATAATGTCAAACCTCAACTTTCGCAATGGGTACGGATTACAAAAAAAAAACATTTTGTATCATCAAAGTAAAACAGAGACACCCGAAGACAAAGTCCCTCCCCTTCCCCACTTTCAGTGGTCTGAACAACACGATTGTACTTTTGCAAATTAGCCCAGAATGTTGACATTGCTCTATAACATGTCAGAAATAATTTTGGAAACAGGGAGACAATAAATGTGCCCTTCCTACATACGACGGTCAGTGCACAGATTGGAAAGAGTCATTACTCAACGTTTGATGCTTCTCAAGGCTTTGCATTTAAGTAATTTAGTAAAACCACAGCGGCGGAGCTGCACCTTGCAAAACAAACAAAAAGCAAAAACTTTTAAATCTCAACAAAAAAGCTTAAATAACTAAGCTTTTAAAAAGAGAAGGCGATCCTCTGGACTTTGAGCCAATTTAGTCAAAACACCCCCATATTGCCTACTATAGGTAACTGTCGTCAAAACTGGGAAAAGAATGCTTTGAAAAAATTCAAGCATTTCACACACAGGCAAAGCAGAGCTTGCAATGCAGAAAAATAAAGACGAAAAGAGAACACTTTCGAATTAGCAAATGAAAAACATTAAAAATTACAGGAAAGAACTTTAGTCTGAGTCCAACCAACATTTAAAAGTTGGCAGCATTGCACAAATCACTCAAAAGACAATCAATGACAGCAATTTGAAATCCCAAATAATGACGGTAAACTCCGAAGACCACTATTACTTTTCAACATAGAGGCAAAGCTGCACTTCGAAAATTCGGGCAAGAAAACGACAAAAAAAAACAGCTTTGTGAAGTGAAATAAGAAAAGTAGAAATAAGTCTCAAATTAGTAAAAGTTTGCTTCGTGTCGGATTTGAACCTGTGGCGTTGAGACTGCGAGTCACGCGGCCTTCCCTCTCAGCTATGGACACCTAACAATAATCAATCAAAAGCCACAAACAAAACAAAAAACTGATTCCTATGAAATTTTCAATGACAGTAATTATAAGAAGTGCCACCAAATGAGCATTTTTATTTGCGAGTAAGATTGGAAAAAAAGTAGAGTCGTGCTAATAAACTACGCAGGCTAGCGTAAACAAAACAAAAACATATGAATAACGAACAAATTCAATTCATTTTATAGGAGCCAAGACACATAAGAGCTAGGAAAAAAATGAACTAAAAAAAAAAAAAAAAACGATTATTAAATTGAATTTTAAATTTTCATTGGTTTTAAAGAAAAACTAGCGTGTTGCGCACCTCCGGTGCTTCGAATTTTTAAAAACTCATGAAAAACCGCATACATTGGAAACAGAATCTTCAGCCTTTTAGTGTACTCTGACAGCACCCAATTAAAGGGTTGTAATTTCAAATTTTATAATAAAAAAATTTTAAACTTCAAAACTTGAAAAACCATAAAAGCGTCATCTCAAAAACTTAAGAGTCATCTGGAAAAAATTGGGGGCCACATTTGCAACCACTGAGAGTAACCTGAGAGCACCCTACTATAGGGGTGGGAATTTCAAAATAATCTCGAAAAAAATTATAAAAAAACGTCATATCTCGGAAACTAAAAAATTTGAGCATTCATATTTAAAGGCAAGATTCGGGACGCCTGGCTGTACGCTGACGATAAGGTTGTCTCTTCATCAAGTAAGGAGTTTCATATTTTGAACATTTTTTGTAAGTTCTTTGAAAACTTTTGAAAAATCAAAAAAACAACACATCTTGGAAACTAAAAGCAATTAAGCAGTCGCGTTTGGACGCAAGACTTACAACTTCGAAGAGCACCCTCACGGTACCCAACGACATGGTTCGAAATTTCATATTACGTGAAACTTTTAAAATTTGTTTACCGAAAATTTTCTAATAAAAACACTAAAAACGTCAAGTCTCGAAAAATAGAAATATTTGAGTAGCCACATTTGGAGGCAAGATTTACAACACCTGAGAGTACCCTGACAGCACCCCAGTACAGGTTTGGATTAATCAATTTTGTGAAATTTTCCAAATCTAAGTTAACTGAAAATTTAGGAAAAAATCATAAAAAATGTCATATCTCAAAAATTACAAGGATTTGAGCAGTCATATTTGGAGGCAAAATTATCAACCCCTATGAGTCCCCTGACAGCAGTCAACTACAAGGTTAGAAATTTCAAAGTTTGAAAAAAATATAATTTTTCTGAAAAACATCAAAAAAATCACATAAAACGTCATATCTCAAAAAATCTAAGGATTGGAGCAGTCATAATTGGAGGCCAAATTCGCAACCCTTGAGAGTACTCTGAAAGCACCCAGCTACAGGATTGTGAACTTCAACTTTGGTATATTAATTTCTAATTTGAGTTTTCAGAAAATTTTAGAAAAAATCACAAAAATCGTCGTATCTCGTACACTAAAATGATTTGTGCATTCATAATTGAAGGCCGAACTCGCAACCCCATGGGGAATCCTGACAGAATCTCAGTATTGGGCTGCTTATTTAAAACTTGGTGAAATTGCCAGTAAATTCAAACTGGAAAATCGAAAAAAAATTCTTAACCATTGCAATATCCGATACAACCTAAAATGCGAAAAAATTCTTTCGTTAAATATGCAAAAATTATACACTGAAAAAGTTTAAACGTGGCGAGATATTGAAGCCCGCGTTTTAATATATAATAGATGCCAGAAAAAAATCAAATGAAACCAAGCAGAAAAAAAGAAATGGTTAACAAAATCAATGAAATGGTCAATAAATCAAAAAAAAATGGTCAACAAAATCAATATTTAAAACCAAGCAGAAAAAAAGAAATGGTCAAAAATTCAGTTGTTATGAAGCGGAAAGAAAATACCTTTCCAAAGATAGAGATTCCCACCAACAAAAACAACTTTACAGAAAAGAAATTGAAAAAACTTACGCGCACGGTTGAACAAAAAAGAATGAATTATAGAAAAGGTTCAACCCTTGAACAAATTTCAACACAGGCAAAATGGATTTTCGCAGCATTTGCGATAAAACGCAAGGGTATAAAGAAAACAAAAAAGACAACTAGCATTAAATAAGGTTGGGGGTATTATTTAACGAGCAGCCACTAAATCGGCAAAAATTTGGTAGGCCTTGATTAAGCCGAAAACAAACAAAAAATGAGCGATTAAGTTTCGAAACACAAAGAACTACCTAAAATATTTTATAATAATGACCAAAATTTGCAATCCAACGACACAAGACAATATGAGCATTCCGATAAACCATAAGTCACAACTACTAAGGCGGAATAAAGTTAAAAAAACAAAAATATCTATATTATAAGTCAGGTTTAGAAAATTTAGAAATTAAGAGGAAAACAAACCCCAATTAAATGTCTCCGGCGCAAAAAAATCCCTGATGTGGTATATGGGCCAAAAAACATTAGCAAAACAAAACGAAAGTCCGACAATTCAATTTTTCTTGGAAACAAATTCAACTTCATACATAGTGCAAACAAACAAGGTGCAACCGGGACTCGTATTCCAGGCCTTATTGTGCGACTCGTATTCCAGGCCTTATTGTGCGAAGGCAACCGCTTTGACTCAAGACCGAGTACTAAGGAGCCTGGAAGAAAAAATTCGATAAAAAGCAATTTCATTTTATTTACAGATTTGTACGAACGTTGTTCACTGATGAAAAACTAAATCACGATTACAAAGCATTCGCTCTCACAAGTATAGGATTAAAACAGCAAGACACTCAAGAACTGTCAAAGATGACTTCGACTGGTGTTTCCGTTGAAAAACAAAAAACCAAACGTTTTTTAAGCTCAATTGAATTAGTTTTTCAAAGAGTTCTAAGTGGACCTGATTTTAGGTGTTCAAAAAATTGGGGTCAAAATCTTACGATCTCATAAAAGATATCGGAAAATTGTAGAAAACAACTAAGCCGACAGAAGTAAAGCCGACAACCAATAAGCAGAAAATCAATCAAAATTGTCCGACAAAATCTTATTGGGAAATAGACATGTACTGCTCAAATAGTATCCACGAGTGCCATATATGTATTATATGCAAGTTGGTATTCACAATTCGGAAATTAAACAGAGTTTCATCGACAACCATAACGCAGAAAAACCATCAGCAAAAAACTATCGGATTAATGTGCTATCAGTTCACAACCTAGAAGAAAAACAGAGAAACCAACAATCTTAACTCAAAACTCAATTTTATTACCAAGACAAAATTTACACGAAAAACGTCACAGTTGAAATTTAGTTCTATTTATGAGCTCCGTTACTAATGGCGATTTTAAATAACTAAGTAATATTTCGATCATCAAAACTGTTTGAAAGAAAAACCAGTCCAAAAATAAACATTCCAATATTTGTTTCAAAAACTAACAAAAATAATTCAAAATGGCTTTGAATTTTTGTTTTTGGAACGCTTTTACGTGATAACATTCAATCAGAGTAAAACTTGACTTGAAGCTTGTGACGCTCATTTTCTCGATGTAGTATGTAACGAAAAGTAAACGGGTCTGAGAATAAATAGGCATGAACCAATTCAATCAGCAAGTAAAACACTTCATACCTGTCGTTGGGCCACGCTGAATGGGGTGGCATTTTTCATGTGTTCAGGGTGCACACCGCTAAACTGCGATCGATAATCAGTGATCTTCGCATAAGGCTTAACGTACTTGTCGTAAATTGTTGTTCCATTCGTGGATACTATAGTACATCTGGCCAACGCATTGCTACTTCGTACTGTCTGAACCATTTCGCAATCAAGGGCAACATATTTGGAGAGGTCTTGGGTCAGCTTTGTTTCTGAGACTTCAGGTTCGAGCTCAAAATCATCTTCGTCGGATACTTCGTTGCTCTGGTTGTACCTTTGGAGATTTTCAATTAACTCATCTGCTTTCCTTTTCCTGGGGCCGACTTGGTCATATCTACTATTGGGCTCGCCAGGAACCAGGACGCAGCTAGAGTTAAGTGTAACTAGGGCAGACATAGGTAATCTTAAATCGCACAAATACGGAGGAAGCTTTGTTTTAGTGAAAAACAAACGGAATAAACATCCCAAACAGGCGTTTGACCTCCTCTAAGGAAGAGTGACCATTTACTCATTGAATTGAAGATCCCATTGAAAAAGACTTCGACGGAACAAGACGAAGAAAATGTAACATTCGCCCGGAAGATACATATCGACGGAAGACAAAACTAAGTCTTAAGACGACTGGCTAACGTCTAAACAGAGCTTTGCATGCTTTTCAAGTTTCTACCAAGCCAGTACTTTCGGTGATCTTTTCTAACATCGGGTCGACAAAAACGTTACTGCTTTCGGCTTCGGTCAAAACACTCAAATTAACTAGATTACATGCAGAAATAATGAGCTCATGGCTGGGTCTCAGTATCCCCAGACCACGAGGTCACTCCTAAAAACAGGGCTACTACTATTTATTATATTATTATTGTTTTTAAGAATTTTTTAAAATTGTTAATTCAAACGTTTTCGCACATTTAGTGCATCGTCAGGATATAAAATTTTTTATTTACAATAAAATGATCAAAGATCATGTATGAAATTCAAAAAGAACATGTTAGAAATTTTTAACCAATCACATTCTTACATCTGTTATCACGTAATCATTATTTCATCGATTATGACAATTTCCATACTTTTTTGTTACTTGAGTCATAATTTTTCGATTTGATGTTTTATCCAAACTGACATGTCAGTTTATTTTTTCAAAAATTGCAATTTTTAGTCATGTTTAAACATGTACTATAATTTTTATGTCAGCTCCCTGCTCCTGAACTCCTCGCGCGTGTTAATTCTGGGGCGTTCTTTCCAAATATGTAAGGCCTCCAGAGTGAGGAGTTTCTGTATGTTACTTGATTGATCTATAATCTCAGACTTAAGCTCAGCGCTCTTACCATCCCTGTCACATTCTCTCAAATGTTGCCCTACTGGCGAATCTTCCTTGTGATGCTCTTCAATCCGCGTGGTCAAATGCCGGACCGTTTGTCCAACATAGGTGGAATTACATCCACTACATGTGAGCTTGTAGACCACTCTGGATTTCAAATCTTTCCGGATTCTTGAATTATTGTTTTTGTTCAGTAGATAAAAATCATCATCTCCATCGAAGATGGATCAACCCTTTCCCCCCAACTCCTAGCTTCTCATCCTTATCAAAATGAATCTAGTTGTTAATTAAATTCAAATCAGGACATGACAAGAAGCTAAAAGTCTATATAACAGGCTAAAAGTTTCAGTCCCGAAACCCTTCCGGATTCTTGAATCCACTGAATCAAGCTCGTTAATCTTGATTTCTTCTTAATCCGGAAGGCTGTCCTCCACCCTTCACCGTTGTCTGCAACGGCCTTGCAACTTTTGTAGCGACACAATAGTTGCAACTCGGAGTGTTCACTGCTATTCCTGCAATCTGCTATTGTTTTTTCTCACAATTTTTGTACTTATCGTCCGCGCAACTAATGTTGTTGTGTTGTTTTCTAGCTTTTCTGCTAAAATGGCCGTTTCTGACGTTTCTCAGAAATGTTACGTAATCACTTCGAAAAGTTAAAAATGAGCAATTCCCGAATCCCTCAGCCTTCACGTTTTGTCCAATCGTTCAAATAACGTTCTTAATTCTTAATAATCACCAATCCGGAAGGCTTGCTGCTAAAAATTCGAATTCCGCAGAGATTGCATTTTTCACATTCTGGTCGAATGTCACATACTCCCCGGACAGTCCGGTCAATGTCCTCATTGAATCACGCAATGTTCGTAGAATAGATACAGTGTCATCGAACAGAATTTACAAAATGCACGAAATTACTTTTATCTACGTCACATCGACTCACTGCAGAATATAAATGGCATCATACTACATCACTATAGCCTTCAAATTCTTTCATCAATCTGCACATCGAGGAAATGACCTAAGATAAAACATATTTTCTGACTTCCAGTGTCAATGTCCCGATTAAAACTTTTCTCTTAGATTTAAAAGGTGTTGGCTTGCAGGACAGTCCTGCCAACCAACAAGCTAAAATTTTCCTACTATGCTTCTCCCTTCGGAAATCTTGCTTGTTATTGTCCTGAATACTAAAACTAAGAAATTCTGTGGTTAGAAAGAACAATGATACAATCTCCCTCTTCGAGAGATTACTCAAGCCTCCCATGTCACCACAAAGTGATCAGTTCTCCTAGCTGATTAAAAGCAGGCTGGAATATTTAAATATACTCCTTCACTTAAGCCTTTCTAAATAAATAGTAAGTGAGTGTCTCTAAAGCCACTCAACTAAAATCAAAATGCAATTTTATAAATGCAATAATTTCAAAACTCAACTAAATGTTTCAGTTTTCAATTACAACTTGGTTGCTTGGTTTCTCACTTGAGTTTTTCACACACATAAAACAATTCTGAGTTTTAACTTTTCCTTCATTACTCCTTTGTTCTCTTCTTTTTTCGTCGTTTAGAAGTTCTAAAACTTCTAAATTCTTCTAATTTTCGTCTCTTTTCTCATCTTGCTTTTCAGTCATTCGTCAGTGCTCCATTTCTTCCTCCTGTGATACTGACTCTGCACTCTCAGTTTCCGTATCTTGTAATACGTCGTTAGCTATCCTGACGCTGCTGGAAGCCGTCCTCCAACACTTCTGCTCTTCTACCCTCTGTTTGCAGCAAGGTAGGAGTTCCACGTTAGATTCTCTGTTCCTGCAGAAGCTGTTGTGGAGACACAACGTCACGCTTCTCTCCAAATCTTCTTTCAGCATCTCTGCTCTCTCCTTTCCACTACGTTCACTCGTCCTGGAAATTCTTTTCACTGCGGTGGTCACTGCATTCCGATGAGTCACGAGAGCTCGCTTGAAAGCTCCTGCTCCAATGTCCAGCTGATATTCACTGTACACTCTGCCATGCTTCGACATATGCTTTTTCGCATACTCGTACAACCATGCAGTCATGTTAGCTCTGAACCATGGCATCAATCGTTTTCTTGCCCATATATTCTTCACTTCCATCGGAATGTTTAGAACTTTGCACATTGTCTCAAAAAGATCTAAATCTTTTAGACAATCTAACTTCCGCAACTGTTCTCTCGTTGGTGCCTCCTGTCTATTATTTTCTCTCACATGAGCTTCCAGCCATCGTATCGCCATCATAACTCCCACTATCACTATTGTTACGGGCTGTGATGATTCTGGTAAACCCATGGAGAGCAGCTCTCCAGAGTCCCAGATCAACATCAGATTACTACGCTTGGGATACCACCAGGTCTGCAGCAAGCAGTGGCAAGGAAACTCGTCATGCGTCAACATGATGCTCCTCCAATCACGTTTTCCCGAAGCTTCCAGTAATGGTTCCACTTCCATCATCACTCGGTGGACTTCATCATTCTCATCTACTGCATTGTAATCTGTGACAGTTGATCCTCTCTGTTTCTGTCTCTCGAAGTCACTGAAGTTCCCGCACACATATCCCATGAACTTCTTTCCTAATATTGACTCCAATTCTTCTTCGGTTCTCTCTGGAACTGCTGAGAACATCTTACATAGCAACTCGTATGACTTCTCGGACATTCTCGCCAGTCTCACACACTTCGGCACTGAGAAGGCTTGATCCACAATCGTTCTTGTACTCTTCACGTCCACAGCTACGAAATGTACAGGGTATCTGCCCTTGCACATTGGAGCCAATGTTGAACCCACCAAATATCGTGCTCCTGATGGTCTACAATAAGTCTCGCTGTGTCTGATGTTCATTTCCGTCTCGATTGCTTCCCTCCATTTTCCTATGTATTTCTGCTCAGTCTGCAGAACTCCTGGGAATACTTCTACGCTGATGGCTGTGACCATCTCATGTTTCTGTTCCAGATTCAATAGTGACTCTAATGAACCAAACATGCTGTAGAATCCTAGTGCAGTCACTAGATTCACATCGGTTCCTCCATGGCAATCTGCTATCAGTTCCGTTTCTGTTCTAGCTTTCATCGCTACGTTTCCAAACAATACCGTCAATTGCTTGTGTTGTTTCTCCAGGGTCTTCACACAGTCCAGACCTCCACAAACGTGACCCTCCAGTCCACAGACTTCCGCCAGACAGCTACCAGGTTTGACCCAGTCTTCTGGTCCCCAGCCAGGCAACTCCACTTTATCTTCTCCGTTGCTCTTAGAGGCCGTTATCATCACATTATATATGATGTTGAGGTCACGCAGGTTACAGTCTGCATTCAGTTCCCTCTGTACGTCTTGTGTCGCCCGTAATATTGAGTCAGCGTTGGGACTAGGACACCATGATGGCCTCATCAATTCCCACACTGCCATCAAGCTCGTTCTCAGTAATTCATCTGAGAATCCCAACCCAAACTCCACTCTTTTGTCGGATTTTGGTACTGAAGGTGCAGTCACCTCTTCTTCCAAGACCAGTCCCAATTTGGCCTGTGTATTGTTAACGCTCTTAATCTTCAAAGAATTTGGAAGGCTATAGCGGTGTAGTATGATGCCATTTATATTCTGCAGTGAGTCGATATGACGTGGACAAAAGTGACTTTAAGCATTTTGTAAATTCTGGTCGACGGCACTGTACCATTTCGATGAAGACTACGAGACTCAATGAGGACATTGACCGGGCTGTCCGGGGAGTATGTGACATTCGACCAGAATGTACAAAAATGCAGTTTCGCAATCGAAATTTTATCGGTCTGAAAAAGGATATCTGACCTGGAAGATTGATGGTTTTAATGGATTAGCGGCGTTATTTGAACGATTAGACAAATCGGGAAAGGTTAGTTTTGACTGACTGTAACATTCGCCCGGAAGTACATTTCGACGGAAAATAAAGCTAGGTTCTAAAACGACAGGCTAGCGTGTAAACACAGCTCTACATGCTTTTCACCGTCTCTGCCAAAGCAAGTACTTTCGGTGGTCTTTTCTATCATCGGGTCGACAAAAACGTTACTGCTTTCGGCTTCGGTCAAAACACTCAAATTAACTAGATTACATGCAGAAATAATGAGCTCATGGCTGGGTCTCAGTATCCCCAGACCACGAGGTCACTCCTAAAAACAGGGCTAATACTATTT